GCAACACGTATTATCGTTAAGTATTACATGATGAACGACATTAAACTTAAAAAGGAAAAAAACTCTGGTAAAGGTCAGAGATGGAATGAGATAATGTGAACTTTAATTTTTGTGCAACAGCTTCTAGAATGTACCAGAGACTATGCTTTTATCTTCTAACTCTCTCATTAACTGGTATTCAAACGTTTTGCTGCCAGATGTGCTTCTAGAATTCGAAGCATCAACCGAAATCGCCTAGGGCTGGTCCTTAAACCTACTACCGAAAAGGCTAATGATTTTTATGAGCTGCGTGTGTCTGAGATAGACAAGAAAAATGGGCCCTGAAGCTATAGATTTGGTGTCAGAAACTATTAGGAAAATTCAGGCTTATGCACCATATGTTCGAGATTAAGACAGGTGTTAAAGCATTACTTTCATTATCTGTTATCAAATCTACGTTGAAAATGTAAATTTCTAAATGAGTCGTTTATTTTCCAATCTTCGAACAGATTATTTTTTTCGATACGGTGATGCTTCATTTTGAATATAGTGGGCGATTCCCCTGCAACATTTTCGAATATTTGTGGAAAAACTCCTCTGGGAACTCCACAGGAGTTAAGTTTATGCTTTCGACAACTGATTACTATCTCGAGTGCGCAACAGAGATCGTAAGAATCGGCATCTAAAGTGAGGTTAATGGGTTTAGCATTTCTATCTCAAACTCATAACTGAGGGCAGGCTTCTTAGATAAACAGCTGTTGAGAGGTCAGTCTGGCCTGTGAAGCTATTGTTCCTATCATTGGAACTGCTTCCCTTTTCAGTAATTTTTTAAATTTTCCTTTTGCATCTTAAAATAGATTCCCCCAGCTATTAAACCAATGAAAACCAATTCCTTCTGAGGTCGTTCAGTACATTCTATTGATTGTACATAATTCGGTTTTATCAGCTGAATTGATCATGTAAATTAACCACTTTTTAGCCCTTCGCCAGTCTAAAAGGTTATTTATACAAATTCAATTATCTATTTATTGCGATGAAGCTTAAACTGCCTTTGGAGCGCATGGAAGTGTTAGCTGATCTTGGGAGCTAATACATTTAAATTGATCTTGTAGTTATATCTTTGCTTTGATCTTCTTTTATGAACACATCCAAAGCATTACTGTTTCACGCCATTTTGTTCACTTTATGATCAGTGCCCTTTTGTGTGTCCTCATAATGTTCTGCATCAGTATGAGACATTGATGTATTTCAGCGGACAATAGCAATGTTCAAGCTTAGTCGTTTCCAACGTTCATGCATGAAACCTATCAAGGAACAACTGAAAGTTCTCTATCACGGGATAACATACACATTTTAGTAAAATGAGTCCCTGGTGTTATTTCGATTCAAATGTTGTCTTAGAAAAAGGCCCTAGATTAGCAAATACCGCCTCTCCCTAATAACAGTTCTAGAATCTTCCTAATAAGTAGATACTTAAACACATGGAAAAGCTAAAACACAGATACATAGATACGCGTAATTAGAAAATTTCAATTCTAAATGGTGCTGAAAACAATACGTAAAGATTGAATTAGAGGAAGATTTCAGCGCCTTGAGCCAGTGTTCCCGTGACTCTGACAGAGCGTCTATAAACTATTCAGTCTAAAAAACAAAATAAAATAAAGCGCAATGGGTAATGTGCAAGTCTTTTTTTCTGGTAGGCTCCAATTCTTTAGTAATACGGTCCTTTGGATATTTCCAGATTTGTCAAGTTGTCGAAAAATAATTCTCAGTCGGATAATATTACTGATCATGACCACGTAAATTCTTAGACTATCACGCAGCTTGAACGAGTTTGAAGTTGTAAAGTATGGGATGAATATAGATAAAAAAATTCTACATGTTTAGAAAAAAGACAATTCCTCAGCATGTTGCTATTTTTGTTTAGGTCATCATAAGCTTATCACCTCAGTAAACAGGATTAACGGTGATAAACTCTCTCCCATTTCCGACTTCTCCAAATAGGACATGCTTTCTCCGTTTCGGACCGCTTCCGAGCAGAATTAGGAAAATTGCACGAAAAGTGGAACTGTCGCACTTTTTTTTTTCCATGGTAGCAGTTATGTCCCCTTAAGATTTGGATCCCTAAACTGGGAAAGACAGGGACTTTTGGGCGGGCCAAAATTAACATGGACACAAACTACAACAAACAAATATATTTGATGATGAATGTGCGATATGTTACTCGCCCTGATAAAAACAACGCCTAAGCCAGAGGAACGGAGGAAGGATGATGCGAAATTTTAACAAACTTTCAAATCTTGTGGGAGTTTGAAGTATCATTTTGTCTCGAATTTCCTTAATTTTGGCATGTCAGTTCAGCGAATCTGGTCTCGGTGAAACCCAAATCATGCCAAGAAAAATCTAAGCCGATTAACTGAATCAATCTGTGGTTAACTAAGCAATCTCAAAAGATGTCGTGTCAACAGAGAGAAGCTGATCAAGAGGGGAAGAATTCTTCAGTTTCCGTTTATTTGGTAAATATTTTTTTTGAGGGCAACTTTACTCAAATCTGTCGGCAAACAGATCAACCCCCTTCCAATAAATGAGCATAATCTAGTTAAAAGAATTATTTTACGGGTCTGTAATGAATGCACACCCGCATTGCTCTCTTTTGAGTGGCTTTCCTGACGAGTTTTCTGGAAAATTCTTTGGGGTTCTTGCGCAATGATTGGTTACCATTTTATTTATTCATTTACAAGTCCTCTTTGTACGAAAAAATTCAGCGATAAAAGAGCAGCTAATAATTGAGGAGCATAATTACAAAAACTATTAGATGGACTACATAAAAATTTCGTCTTGAAAATAAAGGGAATGAACTTTAATCGTTTAAAAAACTCAATAATCAGGAATGTCTTTGCCTTATTATTAAAAAAAATATATTCGTGTTAATCCCCACAGATGGTCAGAATTACTACCTTAAAAGGTGCTATATTTCATGAAAACTAAAAGGCTTTGAAAAATTTGTTTCAAGATAACCGAATCGTTGAATGTTTGGGTGATTGAAGGTGTTCATAAATCTTGGCCACTGTTCATAACAACAACCGAACTAAAAGCGATTGATCTCAGGCATTAAATTTTTGTTTCGCAATAGATCGTGATAAGTGTAGATTTAATTACAACCGTTTCCCTTTACGGAATTAATTGAGCCATTGAGATATCGTACTAAAGTGTTTCGTTTAATTTATCACTTCTGTCTCCTCAACAAGCAATCATATGTCATATATCTTCTTGAACAATGGTACCTTAAAATCAGTGAAAGAATATATATCTCTCTCTATGGGGTATTTATATGCCCAACACGAGGTAAAGACAAGTCAAACAAAATCCTTGCCCTCTGATCTCAATTGACCACTCTTCAATCATGCAAAGCACTCAAAAATAAGACAATACTGGCTTACAACTTGGAGGAGGCTTTCCCAAATCGCATATTCCATTTACCCTATTGAAGTCGGCAAATTTACGCGCCTCAAACATTTCATTAGCCTTTGCATGTTTCTCATAAAAGGAAACCGAGGAATTCCGTTTATTTTTCGTTGTCTGCTAAGGACACGCATGTTTGACCTGTTTGCCCCAATATGGCCGATAATAATCGTACATGGTAGAGAAAGAGTCAAGGAGTTCCAATAAAGTTGTGAATAGACATTCCCTTTAATACCAAAGTGGTAAATGTGAGAACCTCTTCTAAAAACGACCACAGGTAGGCTATGCTCGATTAACAAGTACATTTGGTGTATGTCGTAATAGCGCAAAAGCAGAGATGCAAGAACAGTATTCCTATGGGCAAAAGGCCCTATTCGGTATCCAAACATTTATGTGGGATGTAAATGGAATTTAAAAAAAAAAAAAAAGCTGACCTCCCCTTAGTTGTTTGATTCTTTGTCTCTGGTGGGGTTCTTGAGTCGATTGTTGGCGAGCTGTTTCGGTCTGTTTCAGTCTCACTGTCCTTGACTTTAAATATAAATTTTTTTGTACGAGAGTTCTCTAACTCTTACTAGGTTAGCTATCTCGTGGGTTAAATCCCGCACGTTTTCGGTCTCTAAATACAACCTCTTTCCCAATGCAATATTCTGTTAGGGAATTCGCATATGGTACAGATGTACTCGTAGAAGGAGCTTGGGATACCCGTGATGAAACTTATCTTCGCACCCATCCCACGTAAATAATCTAAAAAGAGATTTTTTAACAGAGCATTCCTTAAAGATGCCACCAAATACGAAAAAATAATCAGAAAAGCAAACAAATGAGCGATCAAATGGACATGAAAATATTCAAACAACAACAAAACCGATCTCATATTTTCAACTATTGACTAAATCATATGAAAGTTACATTTTGTAGTTTTTGTTGTCTTAAAAACATTACCCACATAGGATACAAAGCTGCGTGACTATCAAAACCAAAAGAGGAAGGATCGCTTCCGGTTGAGGAGAACCAAAATATACAGCCAAAGCACATCTTATGGATAAAGGTAGCACCACATACATTGCTAACTGACCTTTAGTTCATGATGGCTGCATGAATAGTAATATTCACTATCGAAAGTTATTTAAAATATTAATTCTTTGAGATCTAAAGACAACAGAATTGACTTTTGGCCACATTTTGTTGGTTTTCAGTATCTTTAATCAATAATGGCTTAGTAGCGAAAAAAGTGTGCTTTGAACGGTTTGTGGCTTTGTCATGTTGGTTTGCTAAAGAATCGTAAGATGTAATGGTTGGCAAAAGACCCGAGAGAACGCCTTTAAGGGGGAAATATGTCAAATTCTCATAGATGCAGTGCGATTTTGAAGTGGAAGCAATTTGTATTATCTCGGTGGATTTTGTTAAATAACTGACCATCAATAACAAAACATTGATTACTAACCTTGTGCTGCTGAAAGCTGGAAAAATACGATCACTAAAGTCAAAACCCGGCGAAGAAACATTCGAATTTTCCCCTTCATCTTGGATGAAGTTACATCGTGGGCTTGACCGAGTATGAACCGTTAGAATAAACTGCGACTTGTATTCAATGAAGCGCTGAAAGGTCGGAGCTTAAGAAAAGCCGACCCAAAAACGTTTCAACAAGGAATCCAGGTGTGGTTTTATGTGGTCAACTTTCTGTTTTACCACAGCTTGGTAATTTTGTCAACCGTCTCGAATTGCAGACAAAGAGTTTGATCCAAGGGATACGTTTTGGTTATTTTGCCCCAAAGTGACAGTGCATCCGTGGTATCCAAGTTTATATTTATGAGGGTCACCAAAAGTAACAATGACGGGCAACTGTGATGCGACTTTAAGGTCCATGTGCGCTACACACTCCTGGTGAGGTGTTGATTGTTCACTGTCATCATCATCATCGTCTATGCCGCCCGAGAGTCGCAAAGGAACGATTGAGTCCAAGTCTGATAACAAACTTTATTTTGTTCCTAGAAGTCTTCATTCGTCAATGGACGTTTGTTGTTGTCCAATCACATTAAAAAATTTGTCAACACAATACGTATATTTTCACCGTTCGAAACTTTCTAAAGAGTCGAAGCAAACCAACGTACCATCATTTCAACTTTAGTTTTTCAGGATGTTGTTTAGTCGCAGCATAAATTTTATTTGTAATGTACAGTGCTCATTGGGTTCCCAACGCAATTATACAGGAAATCGTTGTTGCATTGAGTTCACTATAATGTATCTATAATGTAAACACAGAGACGAAAACACATTGAGATATTTTTAATTTGACCGAGTGATCTCCAATCAGCTTCATAAAATCTCAATCTCCGTTGGAACAATCC